CCCACACACACACACACACACCCAAAATCAGCCTCTAATGTCGAGCATTTGGTCCCCACGAGGATGCATTTTCCTGAAAAATCTTCCCCAAGTAGCAAAACATGGCCACACACACACACTCAAACTGAGCTCTGATTGGTTGCCTTCTCTGCAGGTGTTCTGGGCGGGGCCTGCTCTGGGGGCGTGTCTTGCTGCACTCCTGAATGACCTGTTGCTGCAGCCGCGCTGGCGTTGTCCCAAAGACTGGTGGGCGGAGCTAAAGCAGCTTTATCAACTGACAGACAAGCAGCAGGAGGAGGCTCTGTCACCGCTGCCGTAGCGCTTCACCTGACCCAAAAAAAAGCCTGTGATGTCATCATGGTATCTATAGCTATAAAACACCTGAGCAACAGAGTCGCAGTTTGTATGAAATGTTTCAAACTGATTCTGATCAATAAAATCCGTCTCCTGCTGTCTTTATCCATGGCCTCTGCCGTTCCACACTACAACACTGTGGTTCTGATGTTTTTGGGTTATCACAGTCAGTATGTTCCTGAACTCATCACTGACAGGAAACTACAAAATAAAAGCCCAGAGCAACAAATAATTCAGACCTTTGACCTCCTGCCCTGATGATGTCATCAGTCAGGTTCATGTAGAGATGAAGTGGTTATTGACTGTGGCCACTGGAGGGCAGCCTTTTCCACTTTATTTATTACTGATGGTTTTATGTTGGTCCAGAACCTGGTTGTGGTTCCACAGAAAGTTCACTCCAGAGCCCCAAAAGAGAAACTGACAACTGAAATTCAACAAAAAACTTTACTTTATTTTGTGTTTGCGATCAAAACAAATCAAATAAATTTGGATAAAAATAAATAAATCCAGCTGAACTGTTGACTTCTGAAGAAACATCAGGCTGATTGATTGACAGGACAGATGATCAGAGGAGCTGAGTTTTTACATCCATAATTAAGACAGGGATTAAAGTACGGGCAGAGTGGTTCAGTGAAGCAGCAGCCAGTGAAGGAGTAGATCAGAGCTGCAGCATCAACATCATAAAAGGAGACCAGACCCTTCTGATAATCCACAAACACCCCCACCTTCTCAGGACCAGACTGAAGACTGAGAGGGACATCAGGACCAGCAGCAGCTTTGTACTGATTTCCATTTCTCAACCTAACCATCCAGAAACCATTTTGAGGACTCAAAGTGATTATTCCCTTCCTGTTGATGGACTTCCTGACCACTCCTACAGTCCAGTCAGTTTTTCCTTTAACCTGAACCTGAAAGTAAAATCTGCCTGAAGAGAAACTCTGAGACCCTAAAACAGAAACAACATAAGAAAATCTCTCTGGGTTGTCTGGAAGCTGCTTCTTCACATCTCCACAGTGAACTTGTTTTCCATCATCAGACAGGTTGAGGTAAGGATTAGCAGTTTCAGGATCCAGAGTCAGATCCACCTCAAACTTCTGGACCCTCTTCAGCTCAGCCTCAAACATCTTCATCTTGTTCCTGAGYTCCTCCTCCAGCTGAGCCACAGCTCTCACCACAGTSCCCTCATATGATGGAGGATGGACTCTGACCTTGGTCCAGTTCTTGGTGGGTGGAGCAGCTTTCAGGGAGCTGAAGTTCTGGAGGAGGTGGAGGTGGTCTTCAGAGTGTGAGAGCTGCTTGAGCTCAGAGCTCCTCTTCATGAGCTCAGAGATCTCCTGTTCCAGATCTTTGATGAAGTCTTCAGCCTGTTTCTCTGTAGTTTTCTGTTTGTCTTCCACCTCCTTCATGAAGCTCTTCTTGTTCCTCTCAACAGAGTCCATCAGATCAGTGAAGACCTGAAGACCTTCTGCTTTCTCTCTGTCTGCAGCAGCTTCACTGATCTGCAGAGACTCTTTGATTTCCTGGATCTTCAGCTGTCTGTTGTGGATCATCTGCTGAACTTCAGCCTCTGTGTTCCTCAGCTCTGCCTTCTTTCCTTCATATTCTTCTGTCAGAGGAACAAACTCATGAGTCTTGTGGTCCAGAACAGAGCAGAGCATGCAGACACAGGTCTGGTCGGTCTTACAGAACAGAACCAGAGGATTATCGTGCTTCAAACACATCCTGTCCTCCAGGTTCTCCACAGGATCCAGCAGCTGATGTCTTTTCAGACGTGGAGCTGTCAGATGAGGCTCCAGGTGAGTCTGACAGTAGGAGAGCAGACACACCAGGCAGGACTTCAGGGCCTTCGGTTTGGTTCCAGTGCAGACGTCACAGGGAACTTCTCCTGGTTCTGCAGCTTGTTGAGCTTCATGTCTGAACTGATCAACCAGCTCTCTCAGTAACGTGTTGACTTCCAGCAGAGGTCTGGTCTGGAACATCTTCTTACAGACGGGACACTGGCAGCTGCTGCTGCTGCTCCAGTGTTGACTGATGCAGGTTTTACAGAAGTTGTGTCCACATGGTGTGCTGACCGGATCAGTGAACAGGTCCAGACAGATGGAGCACCGGAACTGATCCTCAGACCTCTGGTTCCTGCCAGCAGACATGTCTGAACTCTGAGGRTCAAAGAATCAACAACAGTGAAGGAAATTTTGTAACGGATTAACTGAATATTAGATGCAGTTTTGTATTTTATACTTTCTGATCATTTCAGCCTTTAAGTTAAAGCAGACAAAGAGTSGGTGTGTCTTATCATGTGTTCTTTCTTTAGTCTAAAAAAACTGAGTTACGTTCTGATGTCTGACATAAAAGGGAACACCTCCAGGGATGTAACCAGGAAGAGATGAACATTATAACCTGAATTCATTATTATAGTAGAAAGAAGTTGTTAGTGTGTTGGAGTCTCTGTTTAGAGCAGGGCAGCTGTGCTTTTTGTTTTGTTTTTAGCCGAGTGTTGTACTGTGAACCTGACTGGAGTCAGAAGATTGAGAATAAAGTTTTAAGAAGAAAACCAGTATTTTGAACAACATATTTCTACAACAGGTTCAGAAGTCAGAGAAAAGAGGAGCTTCCTGTTTTACTTCCTGTTTAATCGAAGCTCTGAGTTTTGTTAAAGCTGCCTGTAGAAACTGAAATCACCTGAACTCACCTGGATCAGAATCAGATGTTCAATTCAAATTCAAAAATACTTTATTGATCCCAGAGGGAAATTTATTAATGTTTGTTTCAGCTGCAGCTCTGCTCCGACACACAAACACTTTCACTTTTGTTTCCTAAATGTGACTTTACAACTTCTTTGTTCAGTTTGGCTCCTCCTGCTGCAGGTCAGACCAACTGCACCTCGCTGCAGCTAACAGTAAGGGGCGGGGTCGTGCCGAGGCCCGAGCCACACCATATATGGAAATGGCGCCATTGCAATACGGAACTGTAGGGGGCGCTGTTTCCTTTACTAGCAGCGGATTGTTCTTTTTTATTTTTTTATTTTTATTGATCTTTATAGATTGTTGTTGTGTCTGCCAGGTGAATAAATCCACATGCCCACCAGTCCACCGGGAGTTACTTCTGTTTTATTCATCTTCCACAAAACACCAGCACTTATCTTCATTTGGCTAACAGAGATCGTTAGTGGTACTTCCGGTATTAGCAACTCGATATTTCAAAATAAGAGTCCGTTTTATTACAGTCAGAACCGGTCCGTTAAAATCTATGAAGCAACAAATTTTCAACTAAACTATCGGTTATTCCTTATTTTCAACACAATATTATCTGAATATTGTTTAGAAAAACATTGAAAAATAAAAACAAAAGGATTGCATTATTTTTTCTAAGGAAAATATTTATTAGAAAAATCTTGAACAGTGTTGAAAGCAAATCTGAAAAGTAAATCTAACGTTAATATAAATATATTGTTTTCATTTCATTCTCCAAAAATGGGGAAATGGTCCATTGTTTATTTTTTAAAACATTTAACACTGTAGGTCAGACCATTTCATATGAAACAAATACATTTTAATAACAAGAGGCTCCCTGTAAATAAAAGAACACTAACTACTTTTTTATTTTTTGACTGTATTTTTTATAAACTAGCCAGTGTAGCTAATTTATTTAAAACAAATTCTGTAGCTATGTCTGATGAAACATGATGTACAACATGTTGTTTCATGACATGTATAACTTTAAATTTTTTTATTGATTTACAGTCAACTTCAAAAAGGTACCATAACGTTTACATTATGTATTCACAAAATACAAAAAAAGAAAATATAAACAATAACTATCAAAACTAAGCAGATAATAACAAAAAGCAAAAATCTTAATCAAAACAAATGATCCAAAATAAAACAAAAAACTTTGATGGTGCACCATCAAAAAGATAATCACCGTACATGGTCATATAAAGTATGAATGTTTTCAAAAAAGAAGTCAGCTTTAAAGCCTTTTTTGATTTTACAAAACACAACGATTCATCGAACAACATTAACTCATTCTTCCACTGTACAAAACTAGGAATGGTTTTAAAGAAACAACATTTGTATGTGATGTTTGACTAATATTAGAACATTATTTATATCATGGTCAATGTTATGTTCATTAATAAAAACACCAAATTTAACATCTTGGATGGTTATGTCTCTATTTTTAGCATCCCGTTCATAACATCAAAATGACCTGAATGACTAGCTAACCATTAGCACAACAAATGTTTGCTAACTGGATTTGTATTTCTTTACCAGCTGTCAGCTGATCACTGATGATTAAAACTGTTTTTCTGGAGCTTCTGGTGCTTTTAACACATGAAGCCGTTCTCCAACCGGTCCACGAGAGGAGGAACTTGAAGTCGATGTCGAGTTGCCATGACAACAGAGTCAAACTTTCATTTTGACAAAAATAAAAAGATTGACTGTTCTTCTATTTCTGGAGTATAAAATAAAAATACGACAAAAAAGTCCATCTATGTTAACGCGTATGTAAGTGATCATGGATGTAGCGCCCCCTTCATTTCCGGAGTGTAAGGAGCTACTTCCATATATGGTATGGCTCAGGCCTCGGGCATGACCCCGCCCCTTACTGTTTGCTGCAGCGAGGGCTTACTCGTTCAGACTGAATTATATTTCATCCGTCTGACACAAGTTTAGGAAATGTTCAGAGAGCTTTGAATGACTTTATTCTTCCTTCTTCATATTTATTTTCTGTATTCTGCAGTTTGTAACTTAAAGAGCACATAAAGACAGTGTGATTTGATTATATGGTAAAGCAGCCTGCCATAGMAGCCACAGGCATTGTTCCCTCAACTGAACATTCATGAGAACATCAGTCTCACCACACGCTCAAGACCTTCTTCATATGACTCCGCCCCCTCCACTCTGATTGGACGACCAACTTGTCTCTGCTGACCCTCTGGCAGGGAGCGGTCCGCGGCCTGTGAGACAAAGCTGAGGGAGGTAAAAGCTGGAGGCCTGTGAGTGAGGATGAGGAGGATTAGTGCAGATTACAGAACAGTTTATTCAAGCAGAGAAGACAGGAAGAAGAAGAGACACAGAGCCACTAACCGGACTCAGCTGGACCCACTGGGACCAGAGTGTCAGAAGTGACCGGTGTGAAGTGGAGGAAGCTGAAAAGGAGGAGGAGCTGGTCTGGGGTCAGCGGGTCAGGATGGACGGGTTCCAGGCGTACGGGGCGGGGAAGGCCGGCGGCTCCTTCGACCCTCTGACCTTCATCAGGCAGCCTCAGACCGTGCTGAGGATCTGCTGCTGGGTGAGTCTGATCATGATGACCTCACTTGTTCTYAGAGCATCTTTGTCCTGTTCAAAGTCCAGTCATTGAGCCGGGAGGTCCAGGAGGGAGACCCAGACCCTTCAGAATCTGGGTCAGCCCTGGGCTCTCCTCCCGGTGCCTGAAAAACCTGACATCATGACTCTGGTCCCCTCTCTGGACCGACCCAGACCACAGAACCACATCACCTGCAAAAAAGCAGAGACCCTGACCCAAACCAGACCACAAACTGGATCAGAGACCAGGAGTGGACCTGATGGAGTCCAGTCTGCCCTGGAAACGAGCTCCACAGAGCTTTCTTTGGTTCTACAGGGACCGGATCTTTAGAAGTGACCCCRGCACCCCCACAGGAAGTCTCAGGAACCACAAGCCTTCTCCAGAACCACAGAACCCACAGGACTGGACAGTCAGACTGCCATGATCCCCTTAGACCCCCTACAGGTGTGAAGATCCAGGTCACTGTTTCAGGGTCGGGTCCAAAGCCTCACAGTCTGAGCTGGAGCTGACTCAGCACTTTTTCAGGTTGAAGTTGTAGTCGTGGTGTTCTTCAGGCTGGATGGAYGAGGGACGGTTTGTGTGACTTGTGTGTGAGTGTGACCCAGTTCTGGGTCTGAGTCTGGGTCTGGTTCTGGTTCTGGTTTGCTCAGGAGCTGTGTGAGTGTGATCGGGTCATGAGATCTGCTGGAACATTCCTGAGGCTCAGCTGCACATTCACCAGAACAAAAGCTCGTTTCACTGCAGCTGCTCTGATTGGACTCCAAGATGGTTCTGATCGGGTCCAACAAACAAACAAACAAACAAACAAACAAATTATCTAGAAGTTAGCTGGAAGTTGATAAGTTTGGTAATAAAAATGAAAGTTTTTCATCACATCATCCTGCTGGAAATACAACAGAAGAAGAAGAAGCAGGTTCTGAGTTCTAACCTTGACCCGTTTGTCAGTAAATCTGACCACCTTCATCTTCATCTTATCCTTTATTTATCCAGAAAATAACTTGTTGAGATTAAAAACCCCTTTCCAAGAGTGACCGGGCCAAGACAGCAGCATAAAAACAGACAAAAAAAAAAAATACAAAACTAGATACACAAACAGTGTTGTTTAAAGTACCACAAAGTGATACTTCAGTAAAAGTACAAGTATCTTAC